TAGGGTTTGCCACGATGCGGACGGAGTTCCGCCCGTCGGAGATCAATCACCCCGATCATCTTACGGGCGTAAGATGGCAGCCTCACCTTTAGTTTAATATTATCCAAGAAGCGCTGCAAATTAATGGGCGAAGAAAAAAAACAAGTTCTCTTTTGTCTCAAAACAAAAATGCTATGGGGGATATTTCTTCGTAGGTTGGTATAACATAGGGTTTTAAGTTAAATTATATAAAATTCCAAACTTCCTATGAAGATGCCACCTTTTGGCCTTTCACCTAAAAGTATCAGCAGAAGAAAAATTATTTAGTGCTTTTTTGACACAAGTATTACCTACCAAGGTGGGAAGGTCTTTCGGAATCACCATATAGGTAGGTGACGGAGCGGATTTGAGCCCTCTTGCTACCTGACGCATCGTTCTCCTTTACTATTATCAAAACTACACATCTGTGACTAATTTATTGATTGATTAGTTAAGATAGAAACCGCCCCTGTTCCGTTGGATCCATTCGAGGAAGTTTTCCAGAATGAAACGCAGATACGATCTCCTGGGCCGGAGTTCGGCATTCTAAAATAAAAATAACAAACGACAATGATGAAGTTCAACAATTTTAGGTATGGATGAAGATAAATATCCGTATGAACGATGATGCTATATAAAACATCTTTGTTTTAGATTGGCGGACTGGGCTAGATGTGGATACTACCTGATTCTTCCTCACAGAAACCAACAAGGGCAGACATCGAGACAGGGAGTGGTACTGAATGAGAACTAGAGGTCATCATGGCTAGACATTATCTGTCGCATGGAAGCAGGGAAAGTTGTCTCGTTAAATTTATTCCAGCTGAGATGTAAGTGTAAGAATATCTGGATTAGGACCACGATCTACAGTTATACATATGCGAGGAATTGAATTCCATCCAGATATCTCTACTCTATATACAGTTCAACATTTGGAGGGTACTGTTTGTAGGTACAGAAAACTCGCTTTTTAGGCAAATAATTCCATCTCGGCAGAGGAGCAGTCCTGTAACGTATATAGAAAAATCTTATGATATCGTCGCAATCACCGCCTCAGAATCCCTCACGGTGATCGTCACCGTGCCGTTCTCATCCGCCGTCACCTTCTCGTCGCTCGTCGTCCCGTTCACCCGGACCGCCTGGCCCAACGACTCATACTCGTACGCGAACCCGTTGAACGTCACTCCTGTCGTCACGTCGCTTCCCGCCGCAGTCAATCTCTTCACCGTCCAGGACGAGCCTGTAGGAACTTGGATGGTGTAGTTCTGTGACGGGCGAGCGCCGCCAGAGGTGGAGTCGTATTGGCGTAGGTTCAGGACCGCCAGACGGGTCAGATTGCCGTCGACATACGCAGCATAGGCGGAGTCGAGATCGCTGTCACTGCCAGCGGGCAGGGAAACCTCCTTCACCTGCACGTTCGAGCTCGCGCCCAGGAACGTCGCCGCGGCCAGTTTTCCGTAGTATGGCGGATTCGTCGCTGGAGAGCCCACCGGGGTCCAGGCGGAATACGCCGCACCCTGCGACTGATGGAAGTGAAGACGTTTAATGACGCCCGTCGAGGCCGCATAGGCAGAGAACTCGAGCACCCACAGCGCTGCGCCAAATGTGTTGGACAGTCCGGCCGCGCCGCCCCCGTACAAACTGTTGTGCTCGCCCAGGATATAGTCGGCCGGGACACTGGCGACGGATTGCGCATTCTGCACGTGCTTGGTAATGCTTTGCACGACAGCAGTGTGGTTCATGAGTGTGCTCTGCAGCGTCACGCCGGGGGAGGTTGCGCCGGACATGTAGTTGTGGACGGAGATCTGCTTGACGGTGTTCTCCTTGTCCAGCCCTGCGGCGAAGATGTTGCTGAGCTTCAGCGCCGACCCGGGACTGCTGAGAGACGGGGCCATAAAGGCGAGTTGGGATGCCAGCTCCGGACAGGACTGCTGAAGCAGCGTCCGGATCCGATCCGTCCCATTCAGCCACTCCGTCGTGTACTCTGCCTCCGTCCAGTCCGACGGCCTCCATTTGCCTCGGTACAAGTCGGGCTCGTTGCCCAGTTCCCACACTTCGAGCAGCCCGTCCTGCAGTGCCTGGCACGCAAGGGGAACGGTTGCCGTCAGCGTTTCGTAGCCGGAGGCGTTGTTCGCCGCGAGATTGAAGCCATGACTGTACTTGGTGCCATTGGGAAAGGCGCCGTACGAGTCGAAGAGGGAGTTTCCAATGCACAGGATTGCTTCGGGATCAGCGGCACAGGAGGTTGCGGTTGGGACGGTGAGAGAGGAGTCATAGATGGCGCGATCTCTGCAGACTTTTCAGCATGATTGTTCAGTTCGCTGAGTATAAGGAATTATCTTACTGGGAATTCCCTCCCACCCGAATCACGGGCAGATCGCCGCCTTGGGCGTCGGCAATGTTTTGAAGAAGATTCGACGAGTAGACGTTCGGACTGGATTTGTTTCCTAGTAGCAAACAGTCAATAGAGTCAAACCAGGATGAAGGACAAATCGGGCATGCCAGCATATAAAGGAAAGCTACTCAGTTCAATCGACAACGAGACAAACGATGAGTATAGCGAGCCAGTGGATGCGGCAGTAGTCTCTGGTACAGCAATGACATCCTTGGCGGCAGATACAGATTGGAAAAGGAGAGAAGACAAGGCTAGAATGGTGGCCATGGTAGACAGTCGAAGGATTCACCGATCAAAAATAAGACTGGATGGATGCCAGATCAGTTCATAATACCGGTTGAAGACATTGGCTAGAAATAGCGTCAAGGAAGGACAGTAGGCACGGCGTCGAGGAGTGCCGCCAATTGCTGACGTTTAGTTATGTTTATGGCTCCTGCACGGAGCACGGAGTAAATAGCTTAACAAATTCGAGGAAAATTGGTACCTGAGACGGTTCCGGACCCACGCGTTTCCCCGCAATCTGCCATGTGCAAATGCCGATTGATTTGATCGATGCGACGGTGACAATTGACCGGAGGAATTCTCGGGCGACTAATGCCCCGGGTCCGATGACGCCGTTGTCCCTAAGACAGGCGGCCGGTGATCTACTTGATATAGTTACTTGGCACTCAGGATTGTGTTGTAGGTAGGTTGTTTGCGATCCACGAAGGGCAAGCATTGCAACAAAGGGAATGGCTCTGCAGTGGCAACCGGCAGACGCTGCAGATTTCGCTACAAAGCAATGTCATGGCATTCCTTTTTGGAAACTTCATGAGGAAAACGACCAGTTATCATTATTTTTCAGACATCGGAAAGCAGATAAAATACTGTGGATTGGAATATAAATCAACTGCAGCTGGCATATGACCTTCAACGAATTATTTACGACCCACAGACGAGAAGTCCCGCCATCCATGCTCTCGAGAGCATGTCATGACACTACTACTGTACACATTTCAAATCTTCTCACAAGCTGTAAACAAAGGTATATTTCTTATCTCCCAGCCGCGTGTCATTCACCCGCTCATACTCGATCTCCTGCGGGCTCCACGACGCGATCTTGCGCGCGCGGTACCGGTTGACAGCCTGCAGCAGGAACCGGTAGCCGATGTATCCGGCCAAGGCGAAGGCAATGAAGCCCAGTGTCGCGTAGAACGGGACCAGGTAGCGCGGTGCGTACTTTGCGCTGAAGAGCTGCGAGCCGATGACGCCGGAGAGGTTCCCGAAGCCGTTGACGCCGATGACGAGGGCGCGTTTGCCGGGTTCTGTTGCGATCTTCGTCAGCCAAACTGTACTGTATGCTCGGAATATGAGGTAGGATGGCATTGTACGTGCTTACCAGGAGTATTGCCGCTGAGCCAGGCCACGGTCAACGGAGCAGTGACATAACTTCCCACCAGCAGGACGCACAATGCGAAGTAGCGCACGCCGTTATTCAGTACGGTGACGGTGATGATGAGACCGATGAGGCAGATGATCAAACCGGCGATGATGTGGAAACCGCGCTCCTTGCTAGAAGATAGATTCTCGTTAGTACCAGTGTATACTATCCATGGCGAGACAAGGAGATGAGCCGGCGAGAACTTACCGTCGGTCCGAACTGAAGGCGAACAGATGCAGGCCTACGGCACCGCAGACATAGGGTGGCACCGACATCTATAGCGCGAATCGATCAGCAAACAATTGTCAAAACGCAGGGGCACAGCATTGGGGTAATACTCACCAGATTCGCCTTAAGGGACGTATACCCCAGACCCTTGACGACCAAAGGCAGAAACACCGAAAAGGCATTAGGGGGCACGCTCGCACAAATATTGAAGATCAGGACCGTCCAGAGCTTCCAGTCTTTTATCGTCTCAATCACGTCCCGTCGGTTCAACCGCTCGGAACTCTTCTGAATGCCGTCCGGACCATACTCCTTCAACACGTATTTCTCGCTATCGATACGAATCCTCTCCACAGCAAACTCCTTTTCGGCCTTCGTGAGGAACCATGCTGAGCCGGGACCCATGGGAAGCCAGAACCAGGCGACGATGGCGATGAACATGGTTAATGCGCCCTCGATGATGAACAAGTACTGCCAGCCAGCCAGAGGACCCCCCATTTGAAAGATTCCATATGCTAGGTAGAGGTCAGTGTCTTTCACTAGAGGCAGAATAAATAGTTTGGTCTGGTAATAAACGCACCGATAGCACCGGAGAATGCACCAGCCACGACATACTGGCCGTAGAACAAGCCAATCCGCACACCCAAGTCAAAACGGGTGTAGAAGGTCGACAGATAGAAAACGCACGTGGGATAGAAACCGGCCTCGAACAGTCCAATCAAGAGTCGCAGAGCAATGAGCTGACCTGGAATGTCGTCAATGACAGCAGTGACATGAATATCTATCGAAAGATCATACCTCGGCCATGAATGAAGGCATGGGCTAGGGTCAAGGTGCCCCAAGAAATCTGCGTAGAGATGATTAGCCGGGATGCTTGCGGCCTGACCAAAGCGTACATACCATGAGGAACGGAATCCAATGTTTCGCTCCGACGATCCTGCCAACCCCCGCGGAGATCGGCTGGAAGATGACAAAGGTGATGTAGAACAACGAGACGGCATCGTTGACATCCTGGGACTTGGCACCAATCGCCTTGGAGAAGCCTGCTCAAGCACAGTCAGTATATATCTCGTCATATAAGCTCAATACATTCTGCATGATATGGCCTGTCTGACCTTGCGTTTCGGCATTGCCGACATTTGACCGGTCGAGGCCATTGAACAGATAGAGAAGGGCGAGAAAAGGAAGGACAAAGATATCGAGCTTCCGGTTCACTGCTCTGGACAGCCGTCTCTCTTCTGCTGTCGTAGGATAATAGCCGTCAGGGACATTGCCGGGGGACGCTCTGTCCTCGAGCTCCACGTGGCTGGCGTTGTGCTTTTCCATGGCGACGTTGGCGAAGTTCTGCACTCGTTCAAGGCGTTGACTCTGTCGGAACACACCGAAGGAACGACCCAGGACGGCGGTCCATGACGGCTTTTATGCTTCTCGCGAACGCTCAGACAGTTCTTGACGTCGGCTGTCGAGCTTCTCCAGACTGTTCTGCGCCGTTCTCCAGATCTGTGGAGTCCCGCATTCCGGGTACGGTACCCGGCCGCCACCGCGCCGACCGACCGGTTCAGGTACCCGACAAGAGCCTCAATCACCGCTGCTCGCCGGGGCACGCCTGCGCTGGCCTGGGGCATTGGCCTGGGGTCTGGACACCGATTCCAGAGAGTCGGGATGGCCGGTTCGGGTCGCGTACCCGAACAGGCCCCGGTTGAGGACGCTGCCCCGTCCGGGGGCTCTGGTCATGTTCTTACGATGATGGAATATTTTCAGAAAATAAATACGTAATAATTCTGGCGATTGTGAGAGGCTTATTTTTCTACCGTGATGTCCAGTCCTGTCAAGCCTGCTACGTGTTTCTTCATCGTCCCTCGTACTCGTGCCAATTGACCACTCCCGACACCGGCAATGGGTTCATGGAGCTACCAGGAGGCTACAGCCTCTTCACCCCGGTTGAAAACCATCGACTGGGGTTCCAATGGCAGGATCATATCGACAGACCGTGCTGGAACGGTACGAGCCTCACCAACCGTCTATCCGCGATGACATCAAGCATAGCTAACAATTAACTCATTAGATTTTGTACCTTGGTTTCTACCATCCTCAGCACGGAATCGCCGTCATCTCTCCATACGAACAGTTTGATGGCGCACGCTTTTACGACCCAACCTATGTGCGTGCCTATCGCAAGCGAATGCTGCAATGGATGCAAGACGGTAAACCCGGTTTCGGAGTCCACATCCACGGCAAGCCAGTCGATGCCGCCGTGACTGCCCGGGACAGACGACAGATTCAGTTGGACTATGAACTCGACAGCGGGATCCATGTGCGGAGGGTCCTCTCAGTCGAAACGACCGGCGAAGTGAGACAGACCACGGCCTTGTCCACAGCGTCATCGCAAGCGGTTTCGGTTCCGGTGACGTTGAATCTGGGCATGAGCTTCAATCGCGCGTCGTACGGCCAGCTGACTGAAGGCGGGCCGATACCGATTCCAAAGTCAGAGAACGTGTTCAAGGCAGCGAGGGATGGGAGCAGTTTCTCGCTGCACAATCCCAATCTGGGCGCCTCTGTCGAGGGCCGGGTTTGGTGCAGCTCTCCTGAAGGGATTGCTTTTGATCTCGACGTCACGGAGAAGACCTTCTACGACGAACCTGTCAAAGCAGAGTCCACCGCAGTGGTTGAAATCGCGCCTGGTTCGGGGCTGACCTTCACTGTCAGCTTTTTGCCGCAGATTGGGAATTCACTTTCCCAACAATTCAGACAAGACATCCGTAGCAACTCTCGTCAACCCTGCAAATGGCGATTCCAAGACGCAGCAGCGTCCAAGATCGTTCTCGGAAATCTCGAATACGTGCTCGGAAACTGCATGATACCGATCTCTGACAAAAGCACTTGCGTGATAACCGATCATGTCGCGCTTCCTCTGGGCTGGAATCGGGACAATTACTGGCAAATCCGCTTTCTTCTCGAGGTGTACAAGAATCTCAACAAAATAGCGGACGCGACGACAGCAAAAGAGTACAGTGAGGAGATCCTGCGGAACGTCAAAGGCCATCTTCACTGGGTCTTCCGCGACGCCCAACGCCCACACCGTTTCTGGCATCGATCATACGTTGCCAACGGCGTCCCCAAGGACCGTCCCATTTTCCAGCTGGATCAGCAATGCTATCCACTGCTGGAACTATGTGACTATTTCGAGTTCGTCCCAGAGACCAAAGAATTTGTATCGGAGATCGTTCGGGAGGGCACCGTCGCTGACATTGTCGACCTACTCGAATCGCGACAAGACAGCGAGTCTGGCCTCTTTCCCACGGACGAGACCCCTGGAGATGACCCTGTGGAGTTTCCATTCCACTTCTCGAGCCACGTTCTCCTGTGGTACACCTTCACTCGGCTAGCGAGACTGATCGAGGCCTTGGGAGATAGTATCAACATTGATGCTTCCAAGCTTCACCCTTCTCGCCTGCGCAATCTTGCTCAGAATATCTTCTCCGCGACGATGAAACATTTTGTCTCCGTGAACCCCAAGACAAACGAACGAATGTTCGCCTACCTGACCAGCGGCGCCGGTCGACACGTCTTCTATCACGACGCCAACGACATCCCAACCCTGTTCGCGCCGGAGTGGGGATTCGTCAACACCCCCGAAGACATTGCCATCTGGACTCGCGCGATGGAGTTTGGTCTGTCGTCCGCGAACGAAGGAGGGTTTTACGGCGACGGACCCTATGGCGGTCTCGGCAGTGTCCACACCCGCGGGCCATGGCCCCTGGGTTATTTCCAGGAGCTCGTTTTCGCCGAGATGCGAGGCGATCTCCAGGCAAGGGAACAGGCATGGCGGAAGATTCAAGGCGCCATGTTCCCCGATGGGCTGTTTTCGGAAGCAGTGGATGGCCATACCGGGGAGTGCACTAGCAAGGCCTGGTTTAGCTGGCCGGGCTCGATGATTGCCTCTGCGCTGCTGCAAGATCGTTGCGGTCAGGTTCGTCCTGGAGACATGTTGACGTCGGTCATCTGATCGCTTGTGTGTCCATCTGTATGCTTATACGGGAGGATCTCTCATTCCGTCACGAAAGAACCACGGAAAGGCAAAAGACACCAGTAGAATAGACCACATGTTCTGTACAGGAATAATAATATACATAGATCGATAGAGATACGTCCTTCAAAACAGATCATCCTGCAACCAGGCCGTAAACTCGTCAAACATCCCCCGGTATTCGAAATTCGGCAAATTGAAGCTTTCTTCCAAGACTGAATGGACATTCAGATCTTGATCTTCATCTTCATGCCGTACATTATCACAGCTAGAGTCTGCCTTTGCTGCTGACGATTGGGTATTATTGCTGTCGACGGCGTCAATATGCGACTTGTTCTGTGATTGTATTTGCGAATTATGAGTCTGGATGTTGAAAATTTGTGTTGCTGCTTGTTCCCTGCAAGCCGTTAACAACTTCTCGACCAAGTGCCGGAAGTCCACAAGAACGGTGAAGCAATCCTGAGCGAAATCATCACCCTTCTGGCCAGCAATCCGCAGAACGTCGGTGATGGTCGTAATGTGCACCGAGTTCGTGTCGTCCGTGCTGGCGACATGAGCGGTTGGGTTCCGAAGACGCACAAGTTCCAGGATCAACGCCGCGTTGAACGAATTGTGGTAGTCGACCATCGTCAGTCCGGACGTGTCTCTAGAGACGATTGTCTCCCACAGATGGTGGAACAGTTCCGCGTTCTTTTGCGCGGCGGTTGTACAGACACTCAAGAGCTGCTCATTCGGCAGCTTCTTTGGGTCCGCAGGATAAGGTACAAAACAGCGAGCCACGGCATGTTTGACTGCAGAAAACAAGAGCGGTCTGGTAAGAAGGATGATTGTCTAGACGAAAAGGTTAGCAATTCAATTTAGATTGCTCCTAATGAATCCCTCATCGCACCTGATTGTAGGTCATGTGTAGAGACAATAGATCGCGGTTTGCTCCTTGTGCAGAACAACGAGAGACATTTAAGGAAGGAGGTAACTGCGAGCACCATCTCTCCAAATCCGCGAGGAAAGCGGGGATATGGCTCACTCCAAGAACGTGGCCCCGTCGATGACCGTATATTTTGCTCATAGCGAGGCCTATGATCCTGGCCAGTTGTACGTGGGCACGAAGGCCCTCGGCACATGGAAGTCCACTGGCAGAGTGTCAGTGATGATGACACTTAACAGTAGTCGAGTTTGGCTACACTCACGGCTCATCCTTGGGCAAGTCAACTCCGATATCATCATCTGATATCATGTTGGGCCGTCCGAGAAGACAGCTCACGAACCTAAACTAACGTCAGCGACACGCACTCCTCATATTGTAGATCTCTCTACCTGTCAAGCACGTAGACCGTCCAAAACTGGCGTTTCTCCCTTTCGCCCGTCATCCAGCTTTCATGGAATCCATACGTGATGGCGATGTGCCCTGCCAGTCGGATGTAGGAGTAAGCGGCGTCTCTGCGATTCTCGCCCAGGAGATAGTAGCCCATCATGGAAAGACACGGGATATGGGCTGGAGTGGCGGTTTCCAGGGGGTTTTGGAGCAGCAGTTTCGCGCGCGCAAAGTAACTCTGACTCGGCTCGGAACCCACTGTCCGAGTGGCTGTTGCTTGTTTGCTGGCCACAGCCAATGCAGCATTCAAGATGGCCAGAAGGCTCGACCGCATAGACAGACCGTCGAGCAGCTGGGGAGAATAGGCTTGTCGCAGTGTCTGGGATAATGGTCCCCAGTAGTGGATACTTACGTGGTTCGTTTGCTCGTCAAAACTGGGCAAGGTAGAAAGAAGTGTCTCTGCCTCGGTTAATGATGGGAGATGATATGGATCAACCTGTGGGAGAAACAGCGGACGAGAGTCATGCGTCTGATATCGACCCAGCAAGGCGGCGAATGAATCCTCCATCTGCGACGGGCCTAGACAGCCATCCCCATGGGAGACCAGTGGCAATACCGTGCTGGCAAACTCCCGAAGTTGGTCCAGGAAGGCCGCGCCGGACGAATTACCTAGATATCTCCGGTGGCCGTCCGGATCGGCTAGTAGACGGCCTCCGTCCAAGACTTCGTCTGAGTCGGAAGAATTGAGGTTCTTCAGAGGAGTCGCACTACCACTCTGAGAGGGAGAAGGGTCGTGTGCAGTCCGGACCCGTCTCATCAGTTCCAGACGGTCTTTCTCCGACGGGATCGCCGCGCTAAGGCACTTCTGCAGGAACTGTTCGCTAGCCTGCAGGTCCTCGTAGGTTGCGCGGGATATAGTGATTCTCTCTTCCGCGGCGGAAGGATACTCGCATGACCGGCCTGCCGAACGGCATTGTCGGCAGGGCTTGTCGCCAGTACATTTGATGCGTCGAACGTTACAACCGTTGCATCTGCCAGAAGATTAGAAAAAGAAGCCCGCATAAATTCTGCTGATTGATTAGCGGCACATACGCTCTGGAGACTCGTTTCCTCTGCTCTGGCGGCACCTTCGACCGTCTTCTGTTAGGGGGAAGGCGCTCCATCATCCAATACTTGTATCATCAGGATCATCCATGACTGTATGCTGCAAGTTAGGCAGAGTTACGCAGAATGATGTCGCCGGAATCCGGGGTAGAAGTTAATTGTGGAGGTTCCGGCACGTTGATTGGTTGAGCCGAAGTTGACAGATGATACTCGTCACCTGACCTGTCTAGTCACGTGGCATCTCCGCAACAGATTCGAAGTTGGAATTATCAAGACGCGTTCGTCGACTTTCCCCTCAATACCGCATATTGATCAGATTAGAATATTCTTGTCGAATAGAAAATTACTTGTTGATATTTTCAATCCTTTAGAGAACGCAAGAAATATACATATTTTCTGAAACCTAGTTCCGACCTATCAGTATTGATCGACCTGAGAAATTATGAAGCGAGATCTGGACAGTTCCCAGGGCTTGACGGAGTATGTAAGTTGCTAACAAGGCTGATAGCCACGCTGCTATCAGTTGTCTTGGTGCTGGTTGAAGTCTTGCACAGGAAGAGCATCCATGAAGATTGGCCGGCACAAAAACAGTAAAACCGACGCAAAGCGTGGGCATTGGTCTTGGCACATGCCAAGACTGCCGGACCCGCAGCGGAACCCTTCTAGAAGCTCGTTTACAATCGGAGTATCCCCCCTAGTGTCGTTTTTTTGAAGCATATCGAGAAGACGCTTTTTCCCAGCTGGTCCATGAATGGAAGTACATGATGCAGTTATGCAAAGTTTCATCCCAATGTCAAGCGACAGCAAGCTCAGAGTAACCTCAACGGCCGTGCCAGGACGCTGAGCCCGCCAAGCAAGGCTGTAATTCCAGTGAAGACGATCAAGGTGCCATAGCCGCTGCCATATGCTCCACTGGCGGCGTCTCGCCAGGGAAAGCCTTGCAGGAGCTTCTCACTCAGTGGCCCACTGACCACATTGCCGATGCCCCTCCCCGCCGCTAGGAAGGCAAACACAATGGTAGGCTCGGCTGAATTCTTCCTCTTCTTGACCTCCTTCATGATTGCCGGCCAGGTGGCTGAGAAGGGTCCAGCAAAAATGCCATATGTAATGCAGAAGAGGAACAGAGGTGCTAGCTTGATTGAGAAGCCCCAGATCAAGAAGATGGCTATGGTGCTGCCAATGGTGGAGATGAAGATGCAGGTCGTCGCAGGATAGCGATCGACCAGCGTCCCCATTATAATGCATCCAAAGACTGAGGAGAGGTTGACAAGGAGGACTGTGAGAGACGCAACCAGATTGCTAGCACCAAGAATGCGACTAGCATACGTCGGGAGATAAATGGACGGGAGGAAGAAGCCCAGAGCTTCGAGCACGTTGCCAAGCTGGAAAATCAGGAAGGTTCGGTTCCAGAGGAAGCTAAAGTCGAACGGACGCATGCTGGATGACTGGGCGATAGGCAACCGGGGCTTGACGAAGTATAGAAGAGGGGCTGTCAGGACGAAGAGCACGATAGACCAGACCCTGAGAGTGACGCGAAAGCCGTGGGCGTTGAGCAGCCACTGGAGGAAGACGGGAAGGACGACCCCTGACACCCCGGTACCGGCCTGTTAAGAAGTCAGACTATAATCATTTCTTCTTTTTTGCTTTCCCTTTGAATGACGATATTTTCATACGGTTGTTAGTTCGCACATACCCACATGATCCCAAACGCCAGTCCTTTCTTGTTAACGAACCACTCCTCCATGAAGAGGATGGTAGGCGCGTATGCCAGACTGGCCCCGACAGCATACCCAATTCCCTGCAAGAGCAAGAGATGGGTCGTGTTGGTCGCAAATGAGCTGAGAGCCAGAGAGACACACATGATCAGGAAGCCGAGTGGCGTCGCCCATCGCTTCAGTCGGGGCACAGCCAGCAGCAGCGCAAAGACGAAGGGTGCGAGAATGTAGATGATACCCTACATCGTGTCAGATATAGAACCAACAATGTGCAGAATGAAGGCTAGGAAAGGATAAGTGCGGACAAACCATCGCACAAGTCCCAATGGCAGCGATGTTGTCCGAATCCTTAAATGGCTCGTGCGTGCTATAGTAATCCTGGAAGATACCGAAGGCAAATGCGAAGCCTGTGGGATTATTTAGTATCGAAATCACTTAATATAAAAAAATGAAAATTAATCAAAAACAAAGGTTCATGGCTGTAGTCATACCCCACACCAACGCCTCAATCATAAAACAGGCCGCGAGGAACAGCCAGGCATCTGGGCCGCCATCAGCGGGGGGCAGCTGTTGGTTGATGTTAGAATTGACATTGTCGCTGTGATGGTCACGACGACTGGAATCATAATCGTAATCTCCCACCACATTATCGTCTTGGTATCGCTGTTCAGCAGCTGATCCATCCTGACAATGAGCGGGGTTGGTGGAGGAAGGCGGGCGTTGGAGTTCGAACTCCATCTTCACACACGCAACACAACTTAGATGTTATTAGTGAATAACTAAGTAAGTTCCACTGAGAAATGAATCATGGAAAATACGCAGATTTGTGGCTCAAGTTCGATAACTGAGTCACGGCAAACTAACTAGCTGACAGAAAAGGTATAGCGTGTTTGCATTGCTTGATGCGTCAGTTTTAGGTTATTACTTTGTTTCCCTGTGCCAGAAATATGATTCTCGTCGATCCATGGCTTTTTGCCGTAATTCGATGGAGTTTATAGAGCTTCCAGACAGGCGAAACATAGGATATATTGATTAAACATCGTTGGTAGCAAAGTTTGCGGGGAGAAGCAAGGACCATATGTAGTGAATAGCAAAGGAGGGCATATCGTAATGAATCGACTTAAATATGCTAGCACGAATTGATTACGCTTAGGTCATACAGTGAATGCTACAACGAACAGTATTCAGCCTAGTCAGGAACCGCGAAGTGAAGGTTAGGTAGCCACGGCAAGAACCGTTCATCATCCACTGCTGCCTTCATTTCTCTTCTTCTTCCCACACAACGCGTCTTCATGATTTTTGGTCTTTACAGGATTCCATCGTCTAACAGTCCATAAAGGAATTCAGACGTCTGGCGAAGCTGCGCTTGATTCTCGGCCATGATTATCTCATAACCATGACTGATCCTTTCTCCATACAGCGGGCCTCGTCGACAGGAGCTTCGCGAATCCGATGAAACAAGGGGTGAGATGTCTATTGAGCAGTATCTCTACCGTAGCGATCCATATCGCTCGACAAGTGTCCCGAATCCGATGCCATATCCTCTTCTTGAATATAGCGCCCCAGAGTCTGTTCGAGTGAGAATTCTAGCTTACCACTCTGACATACTTGGCATCCTCAGAGGGCACGAATTCCAAGATGAGCCTCTCTTCGCAGTTGACGAGGTCACTAAACCAGGCTACCCAGGTGGGGGATATCCCAGTGACTATGCTGAGGCTCATGTTCCGTCTCACGATGGTTGTTCCACGAAACTTGGGCACCGCAAAAGACGACATTTACGACTTCCTTCTTACGCACAACATCCACGATGTTCATGTCAAAATCGTGCATTATGAGCTCTGTTTTCAGCCCTCACTATTTGCTATTGACCCTAGTCATCAAGCCGTTGAAATTTATGAAAGGGCGAAAAGCAAGCTCGTTGAACAACTTGACGCCAATCTTAGTGCTTCTTGGAGAGTTCTCTGCCTGTTCAATGTGGGGCGCACTGAGGAAAACGCGGTCCCAACTGTCGTCGTTATGGTGGACCCAGGCACCGTGGTTGATTTCGCAAACATCGTGCGTTCGACAAAACGACTACTTCGTGCGGCAACCCATACTGTCGTAGACGTCGAATTCCTACCGGGGAGCACGTCTCCGTAGAATCCCCAACATCTTGGGGAGCGAACTCAGGAGGTTCATCCTGGGGTATCGTATCTGCAACGCATGAGACGTGACGGGCAGCCAGAAATGGGTTTTTCCATTGGTGTCAAGGGCGAACGCGGTGGAGGGACTTTGGGAGGCTTTGTGACGCTGAGCCAGAACGGAATTACCCGTAAGGGTATCCTTACGAATTACCATGTTGTTCGGCCACCGAGCTCTGCGGACGCGAATCTGCTTCTGCAGGCTGATCGCCTTGGGTCCTCAATTCTGAGGCCTGACGAAACACAAGTCGACGTGCTGTACTTGGCTGATAAAGACGTGAAAGCAACGTTGCAAGACGCCAACAACTCTATTCGATCTGTAGAAGAGGATCTGGAGAGGATACGAGCAGAGCAAGAAGAACGTAGAGTTGCTGGGGCGAGACCTTCTGTGCGACTTAAAAACACAATTGAAAGTTTCGAGAACCAAATCGTCGAGTGGAAAGAAAAACGCCAGATTCTCCAATCAATGCCTGTCAACCTTGGCAAAGTTTTAGTTTCATCAGGAAAATCACTTGTGACAAACCGTATCATCGACTGGGCTTTCATAGAAGCCACCTCGGACAAAGTATTCGGGTCAAACAAGACGCCAGCAATTTTCCAACCATGCTACCGTTAAGGTACGGTCATCCTCCTGGCATCGCTCCTGAAGGGACGGTGCTAGATGAATTTGGTGAGCTAGAAAAGGAACTTACTATATAAAGGTAGGTAGAGCAACGGACCTCACAGCCGGCATTTGCAACGGCACCCTGGCTTTTTGCAATTGGGGCAAAAGCGATCGAACGGAAGAGTATGTAATTGTAGACAAATCGACTGAGCAGCCAGGCCATACGCAGTCCTCCTTTTGTGCCGCCGGTGATTCCGGCTCTTTCATTATCGACAGGCACGGGAAAATATGCGGCCTTCTCTACGGGGAGATGTCTGGTCTCTGCGGTCCTCCTGGCGATCAGACCATGTACATACGTCCAGTCCGGTCTGGCAACGTCATGCGAGATATCATCCATTCAATCGAATCTCGCACCACACCGCGAGATAGTGACGGCAAGCCAACTGGCGAGCCCGCGATTCTTGGTCTCCCAGAATGAGCTGTCAACCTCCTTGACAGGTCGTTTTGTTGACTTTCCTATTGCTTACTCTCAACGTGCCTGTGTTGCGATGGCTAGTCAAGCTCTCGATAGATCCCATCGTCATAACAATAATCATTCCACATGACTTTTGGTTTCAGGGTCAACTACTCATTCTGTGGCTACTTCCTGAGCATTAATTAGATCGTGCCAATAGAGAAATTTCCATCCTGAATTACATTTCCAACAGTAATAAATATTATATAAGTATGTAGAAGATAACAGTAGAAGCGAATTATCAGAATTGATTGCTTTGGTTTCCCATATACCTGCAAGGTAAGCGCACGATTGCGAAGCGGGGTAACGCGGGGCTGAAGGATTAGGTACGTACATTACATACTCACAATATTGCAGATATTTTTCATATGGCACGCGAAGACCGATGTATTCTTTTCTTCTTGTACTTATTCTGTCTCAGCTGATGAAAGGAAGAAAAAACAATTACGTGGAAAAGTGAAACAGAGCAGACAGCTTACTGATCTTCCCTAAGCGCTAGGCCGAGAATGGCAGGTTGACAAATGGTTGCAGATATTTATTCTGCAGCACGTATTTAGCCAAAATATATCGCTCAGCCGCATGATATTCCTGTTAATTCAGCTACCTACGCGTCTAGGAGCGATATTTATTAACCGAAATGCAACACCTGGAGTAAATACCTATCGACGAATCGATCGACGGACCGCATATAATGAATGCCAGACTCGGCTGGCTGCAGCTCTGATCTGGCATAAACTCAAACATGCATCGTCGTACAGAGATTGAAGTCCTTGATTCGCTGATTCAGTTGAGACTGCAAAAAAAGAAGTCAAGATTCGAATTCTCAAGATTTGGCAGCTGCGATGGAACCCTGCAGTCGATGCAATCTGCTCGATGAGTTGGCAGCAAAGAGAAACAGAACTCATGCATGGTACAGCCGGGGTACTGTGAGAAACATGGTAAAGCTGAGAGCGATCGTTTCTTGCTTAACAATCCAAACGTGCTGGCTGATCTTCGATAGGTGGTGGCATTGTCCTCGGCTGAAGGGCTGACTTCCAGCGCTGCCACCAACGCGGCTTCCATCAATGCAACCATCCCTTCCCCTGTGTAGCCTTCACGTCAGCGATTAAGTCATCTCGGAGTCAGAAGGAACTCCTGGGCAAAATATCTGCCTCAGAACATCAGAGCTCTCAGTTAAGAACGCGGCCTTCAGCCTTTCATTTCATTCACCCGCGTCTGTCGGTTGCAGTACATGGATACAAGGACCATGGATTCGAAGATGTACGACGTCGATAAAATCAGGAAGAAGGAGTATCCCGCTCTAAATGGTATGGAGAATTTGGTCTGTCTGTCAACAGCGGAAACTCACCATCTTTTTCTAGAGACATGCTATCTCGACTACGCGGGTACGACTCCGTACGCCAGGTCGTTGGTCGACAGGGCTGCTGCAGATCTGAAAGCGTCGCTGTACGGGAATCCGCACTCGAATTCAGCATCTTCACTTCGTGCAACAGAAAAGGTCGAGCGTGTTCGACGGCGAGTGTTGGATTTCTTTCGCGCCGATCCCGCCCACTTCGATGTCATCGTCGTCGCCAATGCTACTGCTGCCATAAAGCTGGTTGGATATAGCTTCCAAGACTATGCTTCGGCCGGCGGGTTCTGGTACGGGTATCACTCCGATTCGCATACAAGTTTGGTCGGTCTCAGGGAACTAGCACGCTCTGGCTATCATTGCTTTCGCTCTGATAATGAAGTGGAGAAGTGGCTTAAAGGGACAACGATGGATTTGGTTGGAGATGACGAAAGGCCCTCGTCGCTGGCTGCAGACAAGACTGTTCGACTCCTGGCATATCCAGCCCAGTCAAACCTCAACGGACGTCGTCTACAAAACGACTGGCCGCTCCGAGTTCGCCAACTCGTTAAAGAGACCGGACAAAAGATATTCACACTCTTGGATGCGGCCGCTTTTGTATCAACAGCGCAGCTTGATCTGTCGGATGTGGAGACGGCGCCGGATTTCACGGCACTCAGTTTCTACAAGATCTTCGGTTTGCCGGACCTTGGTGCGTTGATCGTACGCAAGGAATCGGGCGACATCTTGCTCTCGAGACGATACTTTGGCGGAGGCACGGTGGACATGGTCATCGCGTACGGCAGATGGCATGCACGAAAGACGGAAAGCCTGCATGACGTTCTGGAGGACGGGACAGTGCCGTTCCACAGCTTGACCACGCTCGACTCCGCCATTAGTGTGCATGAGTCTCTGTTCTCCTCGATGGCAATGATATCAATGCACGTTACATTGCTGTCGCAGGAATTATACGCAGGCTTGTCACAGCTCCGGCATGCAAATGGCCGTTCGGTGTGCCACATCTACAAGGGAATCGGCAGCACTTACGGCGATAGTGCAACTCAAGGACCGACAGTGGCGTTCAATATACGCCGCGGAAACGGCGCATGGATTCCGGTGGAACATTTTGAAGCCCTCGCAAACGCATGCAACATTCAGATCCGCACTGGTGGAGTGTGCAACCCCGGCGGGATCGCGGAGAACCTGCAGTTGCAACCGTGGGAGATGCGCAGGAACTTCTTCGAGGGCTTTCGCTGTGGCCATCCGTTCAAGATCCGCGCTGGAAAGCCCACTGGAGTCATCCGGGCAAGTCTGGGAGCCATGTCGAACAGAGCTGACGTCGAGACGTTTGTCTCTTTTGTTCGGAAATTCTTTGTCGATGCAGACACCAAGGAAAACTATTCCTGTTCGACCACGTCCCAACGCGAACATGATTCATGGACGGTGCAGAGACTGCGAATATACCCTATCAGACACGGTCCAGGCTGGGATGTGCCCTGGGATCAGGATTGGGAAGTCGAAGAGAGACGTCTCGCATTTGATGGGGAGTGGTGTGTATTAGACGATGTGCAGGGAAAAGTGATTACGGATCCGACGCTCACAACACGATTGCACCCTGAATTACGTCTCAAGGAAGGGATTCTTCGAATTTCATGGCCTCAGACAACAAATCGTCTGGACATTAATCTGTGGGACTCACCTACAGGCGACTGGGTCGTTGGCTCGCTGGAGACGACGACAAAGTCGACTCGAAGGATTGCCAGAAGATATGTGTCTGAGGACATTTCAAAGTTCCTGTCTTCTGTACTTGGACGATCATGCACACTGGCACGCTACTCTGACTTTGGCATCAATGATGTTCTTCCGGTGTCTGTGGGAGATGATTTCAGTCCGAAGCATAGTGCCGTGGACCAGGGTATAAAGATACAATTCTGTTCATGGGGCGCTGAGAAGCTCTCCCCTCCAGATTCGTCAGAATCAAATATCTTACTGCTGTCATCAAAAGGGAGGAACCCCACGAAAGGCCCTCGGGAAATGCAGTACCTTCAAATCGGGACGCAAAAGTTTACCTCTATTGTATCTGAGCACTCACAGAAACAGGCCTTACTGTCACCAGAACCGCCGATCATTCTATTCCGACGGCTTCCTGACAGTCAGGAATCCGTCGTCTCGCAGAACACGGTTGTACAGGTGGGCGACCAAGCTGAAGCTTTCGACCAGAAGGGGAATCAATTTCCAGAAGTCGAAGATTCCACCTCGTTTCTGTTCTGTCCTGTTTCGGGCTGTCCTGAGAAACGGCCATGTTATGAGTCCCTGACCCAACACTTGAAGAATCACGCGGAAGAATTCCTGAGATCAAGGCAGAGGAAGAAGACGTGGAAACAGAGACTCTTTCGTTGTCGTCACTGACGCCCCAGACATTTCTCTTTATTGGTTTCAGTGAGAGATTCTTAATGTTGTCGCGTGTGCTCCTTGGTCTGTTAGAGCTAGATTTCCTAATTAGTAAATAATCATGAGTAGAGATTAGATGTAATTAATGACGATAAATATATAGAGTCCTGGTATAAAAGAGATATTTGATCGTGCCCTCCATGGCTGCATACGGAATCGTTTCCTCGCTCCCAGGATATAACGTTAAGAATGTCCAAAATCGTTATGACAAGCAGCGAATGTCTACTTGGTTTTGGAAACACAGTTGCAGTCGATTAAAGACCAATACTGGTATCAGAGGTTGTGTTAATCGTCGAGATGTTGGATTTGGAATTCCGACAATTGTACACGAATCCGTGTGAAGGTTCTCGTGTCGGTGAATCAGCCAGCTGCTGCTGTCGCAAAGGTACAACAGGCTAGACAAGGTGTCAACGTGGCAGCTATCATTCCTACTAGGGGTTCACTAGATAACCTAGGTTTGTTTTGTGCCCCAGTTTGTTTGACGCAAGGAATGCAGGAGAAGGCCGTGTATCTGATCTAGTCATTAAAGAAGCAGAAAGTGTTACTATTTAATTCATTTCAACATCAGGTAGAAACTCGCAAGGTCCATCTCTCCATTCCTTAGGTTGTAACTAACCAATGAAAATGCTTTCAATCCTAACATCTCTTAACTAAACAATCAATAAACAAATCAGTAGGTTATACTCTCGAGCACTTTAGCGTCACTCTCCTCCCAGGGATGGTCCTGCTCAATCGAGAGGATGAGAGCTTCATGCTGTGGACTCCGCGGCTCGACTGACGTTTTGAATGGAACCGGGTGACTGATAACTCCCGGAAGAAACTCCACCACCGGGTCGACTTCGTGGCCGTCCTCGACTACCTTCTGAATGTTGAACACGGCGAGAGACTGAGCAATGCTGAGATAAAGCGCCGAATCTGCGAGCACGCGGCCGGGACAGATGCGTCGTCCAAAGCCGAACGACAGTGTATGTGGATCGAGCTCGGGAATGTGACCGTCCTGGGATAAGAAGCGTTCTGGCTTGAAGGTCATAGGATCGTGGTATACTTTTGGGTCATGGGTGAAAGCCCTGGAGAGGAGTTAGAGTAAAGCAATGCAAATGATGAGTTCGAGCTGAAACAAACCAAATGTTCGGCAGCAGCAAGGCTCCCTTTGGGATGAGATAGCCCTCGCAGATATCGTCTTCGGTGGTCACATGGGCCAGGCTCATCGGCGCAACAGGGTGCCAGCGCAGGACTTCTTTCACAATTGCATCGATATAAGGCAGGTTCTCGCGGTCCTGGAACCCCGGAAGTCGCCCAGAGCCCACAACCCGGTCAATCTCTTCTTGCGCTTTGCGCTGGACATCTGGAAATAGAGTCATCGCCAGGAAGAAGCATTCCATGGATGAGACAGTCTGTCAGATCAGCATCCATATCAGACAACATTCTTAGAATCATATGAACATACGGTATCTGCACCGCCGCCGTACAAAGACGCCGCCGAGTATTTGACGGCGAATTCTTCCTCGGGGTCCAAATCACCTTTATCCAGCAACTGCGACACAAACGATGGCTCATATTTGCCCTGCGCCATCTGCTGTTTGACAAACGCATACGGCCTTTCCACTAGATCGGTCACCGTTTTCCGCCAAAGCCGGGCGGTGCGCTTGAATTCTGTGCCTGGAAACCAATCAGGAAGATATCTCACTGTTGCCATCAGCTTTCCATATTCTGAATACGGACGGGGAGAACGCACGAAAAGGCATGATATCCACCAGCCAGGCCGTAGGAGTGGTCGCGGCAACGAACACAAGCAGCGTCTTGTCGGCCAGGTCCACGAAAGGATCCTTCTTGTGCGGTTCGATCGTATAGCCATAGGCGATCTTCAGGATGACCGCACCAGCTTCGCTAAATGCAGAGACATTATCACTTCTATCCTGGGCCTCTAAAAAAGATAAAGAATACTAACGTTCGGAGATGTTGAACCAAGTCATCTGGTTTCTGCAGCACCCGCCAGAGAAAGCGCCGCACCTCGACCTCCTGAAGAGGATAAAACCGCGAAACTGAGTCTTTGGAGCCAAGCAGTCGGCCCATAAGCTTGCGATAGGCGCGGAATCGACTCGAGTATTCCACGCTCGAAAGGAAGTTTCTCCATCCTACCCTGCAAAGAAAGGGCCATCAGCATGCTTTCTGGTCGTTGATCAACTCCATGGGAAAAATGTCGGCGATTGCTTACATTTCATTTCCGAAGACCAGCCTCGGTCGCGAAGAGTGTATAGCAGACCGCTTCTCAAGGAGCTCAAACGCCAGACGGACGTCATTGAGGATAATATATGTCTGTCGCAGGGCGGTCACGGAACTGATGGGACCTGTCAAAGGATATGGATCGTTAGAGCTGGGCTCATAATTACAAAAAACCTATCAATCGTACAAACCGTAAAGGTCTTTGTGCTTGAGCCAATGCCGCCATTCCTGCTCGCCAGGTGGTGGCAGATCAGTCAGGTTTCCAATGATCGGCTTCGGTGTTGGGCCTGGTGGCAGCGGTGCACGTTTTCCCTTCAGGAAGTCGAGAGATGCTTTCAAGGAATATAGTCCCACAATGACTAGGATGATATTAAGGGCGGAAATCAAAGCCATGGCGTCGACAAGTGGAGTAGCTTCGCGTCAAGTACTGTACAACCCGAGAGACAAAGACAAGAAGAGAAAACCAGAAAAAAAAGAACGATGCAGATACATTCTTATTATTCAAGATGAGGGGAAACAACAAGTCTAGTGCTGACGTGGCCGTAGAGTTAAAATAATCGATTGAGGGATACTTGACCAATGTACTGTCCAGGATCAGCACCACCAATCTACCCTGTCCATGTGGGCAGGAGGTGTATGATCTGCCTGCTTGACACACTCCATCAAAATCTCCCACTGTGATTGTCTGACATCCTTGTCACTTTTGTCCAATAATCCAGTGCAGCGGCAGCACTATGAAATCATAGTTATTTCGCCGAATAGATGGAGTGAGAAGTCGCGTTGGCCGGGTATCCTGGCGATAGGGCACGGCAAGGACTCTAGCGTGCATGGAATTTTTATTTGCATCTGCGGAAAACTCTTATTTGGGCACGGATTAACATTTTCCTTACTCTTATTCGCCGGACTTCGGGCAGGGGGGTCGTAATATCTCCGCTATACCTACGTAAATAAGCATGCATATGCTCTCATATGGGCAGGTCAATCGAGGGAACCCTGCATACGCCAATGCGAGTAACCATGGAGAGATGATTACCAAACCATGCGCATTACGGTAGGACATCGGCTCAAGCTTCTGCATGATTTGTTTTTCGATTTAGTAAAGATGTGGTTAGGCTAAGAGGCGAAGATTTTAGGAGGTCGCGTACAGGTCTCTGGAAAATTTAATTCACGGATAGACCATAATAAATGAACAAATACGTGAGTGACAGAATGCGAAGTTTGATCTGATAAAAGATGTGGACAATATGAGTGTATGTTCTTAAAGTAAGCATTTAAAATGAACTAATCTCGAATATAGTGGAATATACTAAAATTACTATACCAGGTCGCGCCTTGATTAAATCACACATACAGAAGTCCATTGTTTAGAGCATCACACATCTATCCAAGCACCAGTGCAGATAGCTTCCCTATTTAACAGGCCATCTTGGCTTCACCTTCTCGCTGAGACCGGCTCTCCTTACAACATCTCTGGCTCTCCATTCCGCTTCTTTCAAGATTTCTTGCTCGTCCATCGTTGTCAGCGACCCGTCAGCAACAACGACTTTCCCGTCGATGACGACCATCTCCACATCACGCCCGGTAGCAGTATAGACGACGGCACTGACAGGCGAAAAGACCGGCTGCAGGTGCACTTTGCGCATATCAGTGACGACAAAGTCCGCCTTTTTGCCGACTTCCAGGCTCCCGATCGATTCATCCAGCCCGAGGGCCTTGGCTCCGTTGATCGTTGCCATTTCTAAGACGGTTTCGGCGGGAACAACGGTTGGGTCGTTGCTGGTTGCCTTGTGGATGATCGCAGCCAGTTTCATTTCCTGCAGCAGGTCGCAGGTGTTGTTGCATGGGGCCCCATCCGTCCCCAGCCCGATGTTGACCTGGGCTTTGAGCAGATCAGGAACACGACAGATCCCCGAAGCCAGTTTCGCATTCGACGTCGGGCAGTGTGCCACATGCGTCTTTGTCTGAGCGAGCAGTTCGATATCCGAGTCGTCTAAATGCACCATGTGAACGAGCACTGTAGACGGGCCTAAAAGTCCCACCGACGAGCAGTATGACATGGGCGTGTGCGACTGGGAGTTGAAAAACGCCCTATCAGCGGCAATTTCGGCGCAATGCATTGTTATCGGGATACCCTTCTCCCGGGAGATGGACGTCATTTCACAATATAGCGCATCCGAGACGCTGCATTATTTATTCATCTATCAGAATCAATTCGTTTTGCGTGAGAAGATGACTCGAGAGACGCACCCGCCAGGAGTTCTCGCACCGAACCAAACTCGGATTCTGTCATTCGCAGCTCGATTCCATTTCTCCCACATTTGTACCGCACCGAGAAGAGACGTTTCGCGATCTTCGACTAGACCAGGGTGCATTGCCCATTTCGGATCTTTTGCGTATGTCCCGATGTCCATAACGATCTTCCCCAGGCAGCCCCTGATACCGCTCTCTTCAACTGCTTTGCAAAGCCCGTCGAAGCCGTAGCGATCGGCGAACTTCACGCTTTACGGGTCAGCGAAGGTATGTCGAGGAGGTGAGAGGCCTGACCATGCTTTCTAGGAAACACGTCGTCCCTGATTTTAGCATCTCCGCGATACTGAGACGGGCTGCTGCGTAGCCGTCTTCGGCCGTGAAGTTGCCCTGGAGAACCCATATCCTCTCGCATAGCCAGGAGACCAGCTCCAGATCATCGGCAGTACCTGGTTCGCAGTTAAAGGATCGATCTTAAATCACAGCAGAAGAGCGATGACCCTATCACTAATTACCTCTTAGAAGCGTTTGCGCAACATGCATGTGCGTGCTGATCAAACCCGGTATGATGATGCGACCTTCGAGGTTGGTAACTTCCTCGCCGGGGTACTTGGCTAGGAGGACGTCTGCCTTATCAATGTCCGCGATCACGGTGTCTCGAACGAGGATTGCACCGTCGAGGATGATGTTCCTGGCAGCATCCACGGTGATGATTGTGGCATGGGCATAAAGCATGGTTACTGGTCCGTAATTTCTCTATTTTCGTTTTTGAACGATAGGACCAAATCTGTTCTGACCTACATCAATATAGTTACTTCAGCATTTATTGTCCCTTTCTCAATGTCTGTTCTCGTGGCAGTTGGTGGGCCGCCGGCGAAGGGCGATGCGAAGAGTGACGGCCCTGCACAGGAACACGCAGATAAGGATATTTATTTATATTAGTTAATCGCCGTAATAATTATCGGTTTTGCCGTTGACTATGCTTAAAACAACGTTTCCACGGGAATCAACCGAGCAAGCATTATCAATGACTAAATTTGCTTCTTATCGCATGCCCCGCTAGTATGATATCCGAATTTCCCGATGACATCGCGAATCTGAGTCATAGCATCAGTGAATATACAAATATTGAAAGACAATATATCTTAGATCTAAAGCAAGTAATATTCTGATTTACTTTACTTGCAACCAAAATTCATAGAGCAATAAAGTAACGCTGCTCTTCGAAATTCCGATGATTTCTTGTTCCAGGGAGCATTGATAATAACCGCGATTTTTTTTCTATTTATAATTTCAAAGATCGGTTTCTCTGTAACTATTGAGCTTCTCATCGTTTTTCGTCGCGTGAATTCAACCTACACCTCTTAATCAAGGAATGAAACTCGCATGTCATTTATCTTCACACTTTTCAAGAAGAAAAAAAAGAAGAGGAACGAGAAGAGTATTCAATTAATATTAACTGGTATATGGGAGGCAAGCCGTTCTATCTATGTTTATTTAAAGAAAACAGAAGAAATCTACAAGCAGTCACATCATTTGTTCCACTGGAAAAGATCAAGTAATATCCGTTGATATTTTCCGAGGCTTATCTGCGCACCCCAGATTCATCGGCAATTGTCCGAACTGAATCGCCGCTGTTGCAGACCATCTGCAGGCCATTCTACCAATGCGCGCTGAATCCCTATCGGACTTGATTTAGCCAGAGGCCCAAGCTCCTTATCGCTTAACGCGAAAGCGAGCGTCCCGTCTATGCCTGCGGGGTTTGGCGGCCAAAATTGGGGGTGCCAAGAATCAAGATAACGGACGGAAATCCGTCACTGCTCAAGGGCAATCTAGAATCGAGGCCGGAGTGCTCTACGCGTGTTTGGAATTGTGATCGAGCTGCCCGATATGGTCAAGCACTGGATAGACCCCCTGCTCAGAAGGGAAGGTCATCATGCGGCTCGTCGATAAGCCTCTCCCCGCACTCGAAGATAATCCCAGCAATCATGGAAGCAAGCCATCGTCTGAGTAGGCTGCCCGTGCACGAAGCCATGCGAGATACCCTGCAGCCGATCGATTTTCGAGATCGTGGCTATAAGAGCTGTCTCGACCCGTCGTGGCGGACACCTGCTGCCTCAATCTTTTTGCCCGCGTACTGTGTTGAATCCTGGCAGTCACCTTCACCATGGCAGAGGAGAAACGGGTTTCAGAGACGGCGTCTGATAACAACCCTTTCGCCAAACTCGATGCGCGTTTCCTCTCCACTGGCGCCTTGCAGGGTGCCGGTAACGTCACCAACCTCCAGGACGCCGATGAAGCACTCGCCTTTCTCGAGAACCACCCACGTCCAGCAGAGATCGCTGCGCAGGGCAATGCCATCCTCGAAGACCCGGTGCAGCTGAAGAAGTTGATCCGCAAGATCGACTTTACCATCGCGCCTCTGCTGGCAGCCGTCTACTTCCTGCAGTTCCTGGACAAAACGACGCTGGCATACACGGCTGTCATGGGCATCCGGACAGACACACATCTCGTGGGACAGGACTATTCGGACGTGAGCATGCTGTTCTACGTCGGTAAGTCGTGAGAGATGCTGGGGAAGCGGAAGCAAACAACTGACAGCAATGCTGGTATCAGGCTTTTTGGCTGCCGAATTCCCGACGCAATACCTGGCACAGCGCATCTCGCGACTGGGCCTGTACCTCGGCGTCAACATCATGATCTGGGGTGTCGTCCTCTGCTGCCACGCCGCGTGCACGAGCTTCGCCGGTCTGGCCGTCGTGCGCACTCTGCTGGGTGTTTTTGAGAGCTGGTGTGTTCTCTCTGCCTGTCATCCATTGTTTGTGCTGACCGTTGCTGCAGCGTCGCCCCTATCCTGGTGCTCATCATCGCCATGTGGTACAAAAAGTCCGAGCAAGGCCGTCGTGTCTCCTACTTCTATGTCTGCAATTCTCTGACGCAGGTCTTCGGCGGCTGCGTCGCCTATGGTGTCTCTTTCTCCAAGTCGCGCTTCGCTACGTGGCGCATCTTCTACCTCGTCATAGGAGCCATCACCGTCATCATCGGTTTCCTCGTTGCCGTTTTCCTGCCGGACTCTCCTGTCCGAGCAAAACGTTTCACCGACGCCGAAAAGGTGGCCGCCATCTTGCGCGTGAAGGATAACCAGTCGGGCACGCAGAACGCGCGTCTGAAGAAGTCGCAAGTCTTTGAGACGTTCAAGGACATCCGCATCTGGCTCGTCTGCCTCGCTACGATGCTCACCAGCATCCCCAACGGTGGTATCTCAAACTTCTCCAATATCCTCCTGACCACATTTGGCTACACTTCTCAGCAGGCTCTTATCCTGAACGTGCCGTCTGGTGTCATTGGGGCAGTATTCGTCTTACTCTCCGGCTGGTTATCGGATCGCTGGCGAGACCGGAGCCTGGTCATGTTCATATGTATTATTCCCACTATCCTGAGTGCCGCACTTATGATTGGCCTTGATCCGAACGGTCATCCCACTAACAAGGCTGGCCTGCTGGCTGCCTCGTTCATTTCGGGAACCTTTGGCGCGTCATTCATGCTCCTGCTCGCCTGGAACGCGTCGAACATCGCCGGCCACTCCAAGAAGGTGACCGCCAACGCGCTCACGCTCGTCGCTTTCTGTGTGGGCAACATCCTCGGCACGCAGACGTTCCAGGCCTACCAGGCTCCGGGGTATATCTCGGGCAAGGCCAGCATCGTCGCAACGCTAGCGGCGACCTGCCTGGTGATCGTAGCGTTGAGGCTGTACAATGACTGGCTGAATCGGATGAATAAGAAGACGCTTGCGGGGATGAGTGAGGAGGAGAAGAATGAGATGCGGGACAAGATTGCCTTTGCGGACACGGCGGACAGGAAGAATCCGTTCTTTGTATATACCCATTAGCTGGTGGGAGTTATATGCATCGATATCATGACGGAGGTCTTGGGAGTGTAAATAGAATCTGTATATATCTCTGGGAGATGCGCACTTGATTATGTGTTGCCAGGCCATCAAAATGATTGGAAGTTTATGACCTATATAGCTCAACGTAGATTCTATGAAATGAAAATAATTTCCTATTACGAGTTTCTAAAAGGTTCCAGCCATTATATTCATTCGATAAATCTCACCTGTAGAATTATAGTGCTGATAAGGATCAGAGCTTCCTTAGGATATCTCAAGGCTCAAAGCGCGGAAAAATGACTGCATGCATGGTGGCGTGTCGAGCGAGAGATAGAAGGGCAGAACAATTGCCAACAGTTGCCTCCAGTTCATGAATGTGCACCCAGTGCCGGTATAATCAAGTATGGAGAGATTCCCCGCATTATAGGCGGCTAGTTGCTCGCTCGCATAGATTGAATTGAATTTGAGGATATCTGAGACGTCCAATCAGGCCAGAGCCCGTATGACGTCCGGAGATATTGCAGGTCCTCTGCCATGCCGGAGAGATTGAAAAGCTGCAGAACTCCGGTGGTACTCAGAACGGCTGTCCCGGCTAGTCCAGAGAACTCGAGGAGACACCGATTCTGGATAAACCTAACAGGAAAATGACTTGATGTCGACTGAATCATTTACGGCCAGTTCCAACCATTCCCCAGTTCCCCCAAGCATCATACTCAACCCGGCTTCTGCGATCCTAGTATATCGAGTTGAGCTCTAAACTGTCACTGAGGACTTTTCTGTTCTGTTATCCATGAACACTATGAATTGACATAGAAGTACAGTTAAGGAAATGGTAAATTATTTGTTGACAGCAAGGCGAAGACCCTTGTGCTAGCCACTCTATCTTGTAGTCGCAGTGCCACATGCCAAAATATATATTGAACCCTGGAAGCAGTCAAAGTTGGTATCTGTACTACAACTACACCTGCGCTGGTATCAAGAAGAGCTATCGTAATACAAGCTTGTAAACGTATCTGCAGATATGGTAACATGACAAGACGGTTTGAAAAACCAGCAACCTACCTATACTACGACTAAAGAATTCATCTTTGGAGTTTGTTTGAGAGTAGTATAGATTAATTACAGCCTAGCTAGCTGTTACGAACCAACGGAATAGAGCGCTGTCCAACACAGCAACACAGGATAAAACGTTACCCCGCAAGACTGGCAGGATTAGGCACACAAGGTCACGTGATTTAGGAAGGTCCATTGATAAGATAAGCAGAGGAGTCCAATAAGGACCGTGGAAGGAAAGTCCAGTTGTTACGCGCTGGGTCCAACCGTAGTCGTCGATACTTAACAATGGTGGTTAGGGAAGGATCAAGGAGTCTTCCTGACTCTGTGTCGTTCACGAGCACGCGACGGTCTAACTGACCCGGGTCTCCTCTCTCGAGACAGCGGCCTACT